TTACAGCTATTATCATAATTTCTGGGACACCTGTAAAAATTTGCCGAATGATTTTTCGGCCGATCCGGTTAAGTTATTGATTCGGCATAATCCGTATAATAAAATAATCAATAAAGCTATTTTTGTATCTTAATGATCATTTTACGATTGTCATAACAATAATGTCAAAATGTCAACCAATAAACCTTAACAAGAAACGTAAAAAAGGAATCGAATATAAATTAGGCTTTTATAACAAATATATTACTCGAGCAGGTGCCGCTGTTAAAAAAGTTAAATATGATCATGAATTTGTCGACTGGTTTAAAAATGAATCTCAGGTTAAGATTCATGCGACCAAGATATTATTAATATTTGTCGAGAATGCATGAAGAATTATGATGAACGAAATCAAAGTGATCTTGCCAAAGAATAGGAATCGAAATTTAATTCAGTTTTTTAAAACCTAATTTTCATTGAAAATAATTAGAAATGAATAAAGCTTCGTTTGAACAAAAATGGATCTTGCCAAAGAATAGGAATTGAAATTTAATTCAATTTTTTAATATCAAATTTTTTGTCTTCGACAAGAGATGAAAAATAATTAAAAATGAATAAAGGCTTCGTTTGAATGAAAATGGATCTTGCCAAAGAAATTTTGCACAATTTTTTAAAATCGATTCATTGAAAATAATTAGAAATGAAATAAAGGCTTCGTTTGAACGAAAATGGATTTTGCCAAAGAATAGGAATTGAAATTTAATTCAATTTTTTAAAACCAAATTTTTTGTCTTCGACAAGAAATGAAAAACAATTAGAAATGAATAAAGGCTTCGTTTGACGAAAATAGATCGTGCCAAAGAATAGGAATTGAAATTTACGTCTTATTGTACAGTAATATATATTAGTAATCTGATCTTATTAAATTGCGTATCTGATATATCTGTTACAGAATCTTATTGTTCCCGAAATCTATAACTTAACCGGATCGGCCGAAAAATCATCCGGCAAATTTTTACAGGTGTCCCAGAAATTATGATAATAGCTGTAACTCATACAGGGAGATCCCCAAAATTCCGGGTCGGATGCATTCGAAACCTGGCCGGATAGGCCAGAATCGATCAATTTTGCCCAAGGTCACTAAGAATTTTACTATTGAAACAATAGTCGTTCATTAAGCAAAAAATGCCCAGATGATAATTTTACTATAGCTTCTGCTAACCCTAACACTAACTCTAACCCGACCCTAACCCAACCATTCCGGCCATTACGACCCGGAAATTTGGGGATTCCCCTGTAAAAAATCGTCAACTTGTTGGATATGACGATCAATTAGGTTTTTTGGTAATAAAGTAAGAGATAATAAAAACGGTATCAAAGCAATAAGAGAAATTAGGGTTATTTAGAATAATCAGTATAAACATTATTAAAATCAGTATACGTAATATAAGCAATATAATTACTATATCACGAATAAGATAGTGCGCCCTATGTAGAAGAAAGTATATAAAAAGGCGTATAGTTCCATATAATAAAAATCCTCACATCTTGATCTACCGCTTAAGTGGCATAAATGGTACGACCGTTGTTTTCTTGCTCACGTGAATTCGTAAAGTGTACCGAGATTCTGACCGGTTGACTCTCGACGTACTGAGGTCTGCTGTGGTTTTATTGTCCAACTCTCCCAACGTGCAGTGGACAGTTGTGGTTGTTTGTTCCGGTTTGAAGTCCAAGAGGAAGACCCAAGCCGAGGTTTTGCTGTGTTGAAAAGTGAATAGAGTAGAAGTGTTATTGAGTATAATTAAACTCCCGATATACGTCTAAGAAACCATACCTACGATCATAATCTCCAATCTTCCGAACATTGTTTGGTTTTTTAATCGATTGCTTCGTCGTACGTTGTGATTTTAAGTTGAAATTCTTTTTCTACTTGTTCTTCCTTCTATATACCCGGGTAATAAAAAATAAGAAAAATAAGAAAAATAAGTTAACGATATGTTATAGCAAGGAAATCTAATTCAATGACCAGGTGGATTTTTAATTAGAAAACCAAAAACAGTCGAAGCAGAAACGCGGATGCAAGACAGAAATCCTGTGAGTAAGTTTGTTCAATATATTGAGTCTACCAAGAATCATCAGCCATCAGGAAGTCTATTCAATATATCTAGAGAAATGATCCCGGGATGCCTGGTTCAATATACCATTTAAGATGTACTGAGGCAACTGTTCGACATAATGAAAAAAACAACCAGGAAGAATTAACTAGCAGTAGCCTGGTCCAATATATCTACCCCAAACCCCCCTGAAATTGCTTGAACCAACAGAATCCACCCGAAAGCCTCCCGTATTATCGACTTGTATGGGAAACACAACTGTTTCCTCTTAACGTACTACCGAAACAGTAGATCCCTACAAGAATCTCTACTTGCCTTTAAAATAAAATTCGGAAAGGAAATCCTTGTTGATTCAAATCACTCCATGGTCGGAATCGGCAAGTAAGGACGTGGATCGATTGTAAATGTGTATGAGTTATCGTCGAAATAGTCCGAGTTGTGGGATTGGAAGACCTATTTGATGATGTAGGTGAAAATCCGAAGTCAATTATTGCATTTAGTTAACGAAAGGAAAACGCGAAGGATAAAAAAGAATACATCTGATATCCGAATGGTGAGTGGTAGAAATTTTGAAGATCACAGTCGTAAGGTCGATATTGATTAATCAAAGCTGAGATGGATGGATGGATGTAGATCGCCTGGATGGTAAAATGGAAGTAGAATACGAAATAAAACAAATGGATACACGTGAGATTCTATACCAGCGTAGTAAAATGAAGAAGTTAGGATTAACGTCGTAGAGAAATTAATAGCATACTAATAGTTGTAGCTACATTTAGTATCGTGATGAGATTTTGCTGAGTAGGTTAGCGCGGGATAATCAGATGCCAAATTAAAATGGTAAAAGACTTCGACTCCAAGTATCGATATGAATTAATGACGCTTACTCAACAGTCACTCTGCAAATGTTCAATTCGAACTAGTTCGCTTGAAAAATTAGCTGTGTCGGTTTTCTAAACTAAACTCTGCGCGAGAACAAAACAAAAAAGCTTATTAACAAGTTCGGATTAGAAATAATAAATTTTTGAAAACCAACCTTTTGAAAAATTTTTACATACAGTAGGTCCAGGAAGTTGTGGGTTCGTGATGGTTGACTTTGTTCGTTTCCCATGACTGAAGTCGCCGGTAGATGTCGGTATGAGTAGTAAAAGAACGAGCGAATAGTTTCGTGGGCGGTAGTTTCGTGAGTATAAAATTCTTAAACATATTTCTGTATTTAATGAAATAGGGGAGATGATACGAAATGACACGAAATAGGGAGAGTTGGCTGTGATAGTACGAAATGAGGGAGAGTTGGCTGTGATAGTTTGATTTTATATAAAATATAAAATCACAATCGATCTCCCAATCAAAGATTAAATACCGATAAATGGGGGTACCTCGTGTTAAAAGGACAACTTTCAAAAAATTTTTTTATTTGATTTTTATATGTTACTGAAATTTTACATGTGTTTTATTTGTAGATCATCCAAAAATGAAACTTTCGAAGTTGAAAATTTTTTTTTATTTGTAGATCATCATTTAAATTCGCACGGGATATAATACGCCAACGGCGTCCCGAGGCAACTCGCTAAGGGTGTTCAAAAAAAAAAAAAAAATTCGCACGAGATCTACGTTACATGAGTATTTATACAGGATATTGCTGTATTGTCGATGTATTCTTATTATTACTAGCTCGTACTTCGGGAAAAATGAATTTATTTAATTATAAAAAATAATGATAAGGTCCTAAAAAATGAACCTGATCCTAATTTTATCATATACTTCGAACAGGAGTACATGTTATGATTATAATCCAACATCATTTTTTATTATAAAAAATGGTGTTGGATTATAATCATAACATGTACTAGCTGGCTGAACAAGTCTGATCAAGTATTGTTTTGTGTTTCACACCGTGTGTAAAATCAGTAGTGCCCTCCTGTTTATACTTCGCTATTGTAGCTCTTTTTTAGAGCTCTATTACTGTATTAGGAACGGTACGTAAATTGATTTCTTTTTTCGTATATAAATATTACGTTTTTCGTTATGCGGACTGATCCGAAAAAAAAAGCAACTGTTTCACGCGTTTGTCTTAAAAAATATTTGGTATTTAATAATATATATATATATACAATATATATATAGTAAATATATATATACAGTTTTATTAATTACGCAGGTTTTAAGAAGAACTATTGAAAGACGTGTAACTTGTTCCTAAAAATAAAGTCTTTACAACTGTAAAATTGCTATTTGTGTATGTATTAATAGTCAGATTCTTTTACAACATGAGTTATTTTATTTTGAATTTAAAACGAAAGAAATTATAATGCTTATTGGTTGTTCAACGAATATCTATCTGCTTATTGTTCGACGAATATCTATCAGCTTATTGTTCAACGAATATCCACCTGCTTATTGTTCGTCTGCTTTAACAAAAAATGATATCACGTGTTAATACAGTAGTAAAGATGGTTTCTGATTAATCCTCGTGCTTTTCCGAAAAATGAGAAAGTCCCCATACTGATTTATCCAAAACTAGAAACTGTTTCGGCACCAAATTATGGATATGGCAACTTTTGATCGGGATTTGAAATTTTGCCAATATTTAAAAATTACAATATATTAGTCATATGATGAAAATTTTTTCATCGGAGTTAATTTCACTTTCATACCAAACTAAGTTTCAGCAGATGACGAAACCATCGGGTTTGGGTGACACCACTACTCAAAACTGATTATATTGCAAAATGGTTCTTTTTATAAACAGCAAATCAAAATTCAGAATTTGTTAACACGTGTTATTATTGTCGAATAATAAAATTTTTGGCCGACTCTTGATCTAGCTTATAAAATTTATCCTAAAAATTAAATCTGAACAACTTTAATGTTGTAAGTGGGTCATGATAAAATCTTACGTTATTAATTACAGCGCTTTTCAAAATTACTGTGATCAGTGATTTTCATACATCACACCGGAAACAAATCTGTGATTGGCTAAAAATATTTTTTATTCAATCATGTATTGGCATTTTTTCCAGATTTCTGATTCCCGGTGTGATGTATGAAAATCACCGATCACAGTAATTTGAAATAGGTTATTTGAGATCTTCATTAAAACATACAATTTATGCTTTTTTAGTATTATACAATCCTGCAAAATCATAAATATGCACTATATGATCAGACTTTAAGATAATTCAATATTTGATGGTCCAGTTAAACATTCAGTTTATTTAAAATAATAATTTATTAAAATCACAAATCGAATTCGTGATTAACTAATTGAAAAAGTGAAATAGTGGAACTCAACTTGGGAATCTTTTTTAAAAAAGCTGTGCGGGTGGTTCATTTGTTAAAATTCGTATGTTATGAGAAAGTATAGGAAAACTTAGCAGATGTTAAAAAATCTGCAAATATTGCGAATATATATGTAAATTTTTCAAAATCTTTTTACTATAAATAATGTCATATCAAAAATTTGGTATATACAATAGCAACAGTGAAAATAGACAGAATCACAATAATGACAATATTTTATATTTTTGAGAGTATAAAGTTATAAATTAATTTCTGGATCAGTTAGATTCTTTTTTTTTTTTTTTTTTGCAATATATACATTTTATACTCGCCAATATACTTGCATAATTAAAGGGTAATGCGTATCAGGAACATAATGCTCTGAATTTTCAGCTATATTTTGTTGATGAGCTTTCCATATAAAATCATCATATCTTTCTAGCAATTTAACGTGAAAATCACCTTGAGCTTCTAATAAAGAGATAAATTCTTGTAAACTATCACCCCGTTTTGGCGCGCAGAGAAGAAATAAGCATTCTTCCGGATTATTTTTTGGTGGCTTTTTTAGAATAGAGCGTATAACGTGTAATAGATGTGAATGTGTTTGTTTGTCGAAAGTACTAAAGATTTATAAAATTAATTTGGGAAAATGTTGGAAGAATTTTAAATAATAAAATTTTACAAAAATCAACAATGAAAAATGGCTTACCAATCTGCACATAAGACGACATCATACGTTATGTCATAATGAGTATCACAGTCCCAAATCATTTGCTTGGCACACAAATCTGTTGAAGACAACTTAGGGTTGGCATTTAAAATATATTGAATATGTATATATTAATTAAGGTGTAAAATGTATATTTACTATTAAAATAAGTCGATATAAAAAAAAAAAGGATATTTTGTACGCAGTCAGGGTTACCATCAGTTAATGTAACACTCGATGGCTGACACTTTGCAGCAATGAATAAACCTGCTAATGCACACATACCACCACCTATTTCACACACATTTTTGTTTCTTAATTAAATTAAATTAAATTAAATTAAATTTAATTACTTGTTAAGACTTTTGTAACTTACAAGATTTAAACAATAAAATAAAATTCATACTTAAAAATATGTGGATTATTTAAAGAGTAATAGGCTAAAACCTCTTCAGCGGGCCAAACACAAACGTTACCAGTAGATAAAAACCCAGAATATTTAGAATAAAGACTGTTCTTCATATCGTAATAATTAGGAATTTTTATTCTATTAAAAATCAGATAGTTTTAAAATAAGTTAAAATTATTTAAATGGTTTAAACGGTTTCATATAACTTGAATTATATTTACCTAATATTTATACAATCATTATCATCTAAATAATAAGAATACCATTCATGGTGTTCCTTTGGAGTATGCTTATCAAGGCAAATTTCGGAATTTGTCAAGGTTTTCTTTTCCAAAGTAGCATTTTCGATTTTATCAACATCATCTAAAGGAGAATGATCAAGTTTTGTTTTCGAAAACAGGTTAAATCCCTGATGGTTTCTTTTAGAAAATTTTGTGGGAATCACTAAGGAATTCGTATCATTGGATGAAATTATGGAAGAAAGTAATTTCCAACGAGCTTTTGCTGGAGTAATCGAGTTATTGTCATCGGTAGTGTTAAGTGGCATTGTTTGACAATTTAGATAATCTTGATATTTTTTCATCTTTTTGCTATGATGATTATCACGTGTATATTAATTAATATTACGGTATAATTTTACAAATATGATTGGGCAACGAGATCTGGCTGAGTATCAAATAGCTGGTCATGCTAGGTGAATCAGATACGAAATATATACCGGGTGGGTGAAAAGTCTCTATACAGGTCCCTTTTTTTACTACAGTATCTCCGCTAAGATTTATAGTACTTAATTTTAAATACAATTTATATACCGGTATAATATTGCAATGATTACTATTATACTGATTAAAAAAAAAAGGTCCTGTATAGAGACTTTTCACCCACCCGGTATACATGACTAGGGCAAGCCTAATTAGGGATGTTGCGGTCTGGTCTTGGCCCAAAGGACGGTCCTACCAGAGAACCGCGACTGTACCGTGGTCCAGGACCGGTCCATAAATCGGTTTTAATGATCGCTGCATATAAAGACCTTACAGCTATCATCATAAATCCTGGACAATTGAAAAAATTGCAAATGCCTAGTGATGCAGTAGAATCATCCCAATGATTTGTTGTAACTAGTTGCGACATAAGTTTTTAATTAGTTACGGCTTGAGCCGTAACATAATTGGAACGATTCTACTGCATCACTACAATGATCGAATCGACAAGTTACCGATCAAAAATCAATAAGTTACTGAATTAGGCTGACATTGGAAACTTATAGATATGGTCATCTACATTTTTTTTTTCTTTTTAGCCAATAAGTCATTCCATAGGCTATGAACTGATCCTCAAGAGACCGGTCCGGACCATAACATCCTGGTCAAATGGCATGTCCGTGCCCCGAACCCTACTGCTAAACCAGTAATCCTCTTGATCTGCGTAGGAGAGTAGTCTAGAGCTGTTCCTTCTTTTTTTAAATAAGGAAACAAAATTCTCTTTATTTTTAATTTTTTTTGTCCCGATTTTTTTTCAAAAACTCGACAAGAACTAAAAAACTCAATATAATAATAAGAAAATTTTATCCTAGTAAGTTGCAAGTAAATGTTAAGCAAACTTACAGTCATTGTTTCACATCCTCTTCATTATCATCTATAGTATCTGCTTTTCGCTCATGATTTAAAATAACAAATGTGCCAAAAATTACTTTAGTATTTTCTTCCGAAATTTGAGCAGTCGTAGCTTTTGATTTTCGCGCTTAGAGAGAAAAATTTGGTATCAAATAAAAAATATTAAGTACGCGTTTGATAAGCTGTATTTTTGAAATTCCTGGTCGGGATGCATCGGAACCATAGTCGGAAGGGCCAAGATAATTTGCCCAAAGATCACTAAAGTAAAAAGTGTCTCCAGCTGATAATTTTACTATAGCTCCTGCTAACTAGTATAGCTAACCCTAACCCTAACGTCGATGCATTCCGACCAGTATTTTAGATATCTATATTATACTGTACTACATTTAATAAAAAAAAAAATACGAAAATAATAATGTTAATATACTAAAGTTTTAACTAATTTTTAAATAAATACAGTATATCTATTTAATTTTTTAATTTCGAAATTTTAAAACAGGAATAGAATTTTTTAATTCTATCCAGTCAGTCTAAATCCCTATAATTCTTGTATTCTGGTTGGTCGCAGCGACAAACAAAAAAAAAATCATGCAATTTATACATCTAAGTCAGACTTTGTCCGACCAGATCCTAAATCCAATAACAATATAGTATATCAGTCGGATCAGGAAGATCATATAAATTTAAAAAAAAAAAAAAAAATCCCATAAAATTTAATTTTTACTAAATTTCAACTTACACAAGTTGCACAAATTTCTTTACTTCATTCAGTAGGAAACTTTACCTGTTAGTAGCATTGCTACTACAGATAATTTTTTCTAACATGATGAATTAGTGGGCGTCAAACTTTTTTCTGATCTGAAAAAATGATTAAGGAAAGCCCTGGCTTTGCAACAGCCGTTTCTGAACTTAATGAATGAAGTATATATAGAAACAACAAATGTATAATTAATGGTTTAATAAAATAAAATTAATTCAGATTTTCAACCTTTATTAACATGTGTATATATATTTAATATTTACTCGGAATTTAGTTTTAAAATTAAAATTAGGAAATAAAAACATGACATTTGATGTATACTTTTACAGATAAATAAATCATTCAAAATATCTAATTATTTAAAACCATAAAACATCAATTTTAAATATTGATTATAAAAAGTAATATAGGTGGAAACCGTAAAATTAAGTAAACAATAAACTTAGTTGTATAAATTATTTATATATCTTGAAGTGTAGCTACACCGTTGTTTTTTTTTGTTTTTTTTTACTCTAGTGAATAGTGTGTGTATATTGAAAAACTCACGGGCTTACACCACCAAATTGAGATGAACTATCTGGAAGACCTGCATCAACATCGAATCCTATTCCTTTTGAACGTCTTTTCCTATTCCATGCACCGTCACCATACATTGTATCCCATTTTCTCAGCTCAGTCAAACTTGACATATCTTCTGAACAAGAAGGAGTCACTTGTTTAAGCGCAAGCTGAAAATGATGAGTTTTTAATACTCTGATTTCTGGATGTTTGTCAAAGGTCTTTTTAATAACCCCTTTGCCAATTGTACTAGAATTGCCTTGTTCTTTCTCTGCATCCTCGCGGACAGCAGCAAGAGCAGCACTAATACATAAATTTTTTAAATCTGACCCAGAGTAAAGGTTGGTTATTTTCGCTAAGTTTGTTAATGATACTGACGGATCAAGCTTCTCGTCACGAAGATGCAAATGGAGAATTTGTTCACGATCCTTCTCGGTAGGTAAGTCAACTATGTAAATTATAACGGTTTGTTAATCTCAAAAAGTTAAACGAGGCAGTGTTGTCCAATGACACCTAAGTTTTATCTTTTTTTTTTTTTAATATGACCTTGACCGCATAGTAATACGGCCTTTTATAGTAAATCACTTTAGTTATACTTTAAATCATTAAAATAAAGTCACTAAATGTTATGTCGAATGATTTATGATTGTTCATATAGGTTTTATAGATCATTAGAAGTCATTGGTCAACACTGATGCAAAATATTTAAGACAAGAGACGTGTCAGATATTAGTAAAGACAATTTACTATAGAGCTCCTCCTAAGACGATTAGTCTATTTTGATTAGTTTAAATATATTTAGACCTGAAATTTATCTACCCTTCTTACATCACTAATATCTGACGCTTCCCTATGTGATTTACATATGTCGTACCTAATATCCTCCTTGGCATTCTCCTTAAAATGGCATCATCCAAGTCAAATGGTCGATTTGTTGCACCCATAATCAGCACACCTTCATTACGGGACGTTAAACCATCCCATTCTGCCATGAATTGATTGATTATCTCTCTATGCGCTCCATTGTGTATGTCTGATCTTCTGGATCCAAATATCGCATCAAGCTCATCTAAAAATATCACACATGGTGATAGTTTACGAGCAAGTGAAAATATTGCCTATTAACGATGAAAAGTCACATAAGTGTTTACTTAATTAAAATGCGATATGCTTGTAAACGTAACGTAACATATATCCATACCCGAACATTCTTCTCACCTTCACCAACGTACATATCGTATACATCGCTGGATTTAATTTCAATAACTGTGCTACCACTTTCTTTGGCAACAGCTTTCGCCAACATAGTTTTACCGGTTCCAGGTGGTCCGAACAATAATACACCTGATATAAAATGTCTTCTTAAGACTCCATAAGAAAATGATTGTGGTCGCATTAAAGGTAAAGTAATCAATGTTTGAAGTGTTTGAACAGTGGTTTGTGCAACATGTATGTCAGAAAATCCTACGAAAATATTTTCTACATTTTAATGTAGCAATATTTGATGTTAGCATCTTCATTTATCAAGAAATCTAATATAAAATTTATCAAATTACCTGGATCTACTACGCAACCTAAAAGTTTTTTTTCATATTTATCAAGATCCTCTTTTCTCATATGTTTTCTATTTGATATTATTTTACCATCCCCAATACCTACAATGCTCACTAATTTTTCAGGAGCTTTATTCGTTACATCACTATTAGATGAAGCTGACTCAACAAAGTCTTTTCGCAGTTTTTGATTTGCTCTTAGAGTATTTGAAGCCAAAATAAAATGTTCAACTTCTAAATATATTTGATCATTCAATGATGATAAATCTTGTCTTTCGAGAGATATTCCAATTGCATTCATTACAAGTCGATGAACACGTTCAAACCCCCATACTTCATTATCTAAACCATCTAATTTAGCAAGAAGGCACCCTAACTCTTTAATATCATTAACTTTGAAATAAGCACCTTTACTAGCACATACAGCTTTTAAAGTACGTACATTAATATGTCTTATAGCGACATTCTTATCCTCTGCAATCATAGTTTGCAAATGTTGAGCCAATACAGGTGACGATGGAGGAGGTATAGCTATATGAGTAAAAGCGGCCAACATTGCAGGATTTGGAAATATATCAACGCTGACCCATTGAATTTCATGTGATGGTACACAACTACTTGGACTACTTGGAGAATTTAATGATGATTTCTTTTCCATAGCAAATAATGAAGGAGAATATCCAGCGATTATCATCATTTGATCACCTAAATAACGTTGATTTTGTACAGCTTCAACAAGACTATTAATTAATGCGGTACCAAAAGTAGTTGGAACCAAATCTCCAACATCACGGAAATATATAATTTTTGGAGTTAATGACGTATTTTTCGATGAATTAGTATTATCAGAAAAAGATGTAGAAACTAAAGTTTCAAAAAATCGATCTATTTTATCAAGGATAACTTTCATCTCTGCGCGTAAAGAACCATTTGATTGAGATGAATTATATTGAAAATTGTCAGCTAAAGTTTTATTTTCATAACCAGAACTACGAGATGATGATGATTCGAAGCTTTCTTCATCCATGAAAACATCATCTTCTATCTCATCTTCTGGAGAAAAAGAGGAAGTTGTAGAATATGGAGATGCAGCAATGTAAGGATTAAAACCCTTAAGTTCCGGAAATAGTGGCCAAGGTGTTACTAATTGAATTAATTAATTAATTAATTAATTAATTAATCAAAATAATTAAAAAAAATGTTTTTTATACCAATATTATATATATATATAAATGTTAAAAAAAAAATAAATGAGATAAATAAATCTCACCATTACCCTTCTTCGAAAACATATTAGCAGTTAATTCCATTAAATCTTGACGATCAAAAGTCAATAAATCTGCATGTAAAGATGAGGCAACACTTTTTACAATGGAATCCAAATAATAAGAAGCACCTTCAATTGGACAATTTAATAATATATGACCACGCCGAGCAGGTATACCATTGCCTTTTGGAACAGAAAAAAGATTTGCACGTGCACTATACAAAATTTCATCACGTATTCCATCTTCTAAGGGATAACTCATTGATGCAAAAGAATGTTTATTATTTTTAATTGGTAAATAATTTTCTTTTAAAAATATTTGAGGTATTACTGGTTTATAAGAATTTGATGATTTTGATACGCGTGAGCGAGAACGAGTTGTAGACCGTTTTCGCCTAGTTGGAGAACGTAAAATGTATTCAGCTACATGCTCGGTTGCATTGTTATCAGATGGTGGATGCTGACTTTCCTCGGAAAGCTGATTACTTTCAGTTTCTTCCTGAGCAGCAGTTGCAGGAGGAGTCTCCTTCGCAGTATTTGGAGTAGATACATTATTTTTATTATTATCTATTGCAGGTTTTAATGGAGAATTATTACCAGTAGGCGAATCACTCGACGAGTTTGCGAAAGGTCTGGTAATGGTGCTATGAAAAGAACGAATTTTTATAGCATGCTTGCAAGGTTTAAAATAGTAAATAGTTCTATGATTGGAATATACGAGCATACGTTCGAATACTCTCGCTGTTGCTGTTAAATTTCCCAACATGATTTTGTTAACGAAGATTTGTTAAATTAAATTATTAGTATATGCCGATATTTATATACAGCCAGTCACGTGATAAAAGTGAAAATTAAAAAATCGGTTAGTACTGTACAGTACGTAAATTATCTTGTCATTGTGTCAAGGAAGTTCTAACTTCCCTACCAGTTCTGATTAGATATAGTGAGCATTTCTCTAAGAAACGAAATAAATTACACCTCCCTTGAGTCTTGCCTGGCATTGTCACAAAATCAAAAAAAAAAAATCAAAAATTACGGTAAAATTCTATCATTTAAATAGTACATGTTAGTTTGACTTTTTCAATTATAAAAACTGAAGGTTTCGCGTTTATTATATAACTGAAAACTGTGCAAGCTCTTACTATTTTTGTTCCGTATGCTAATCAAAATTCCAATTATTGCTAAATAATTTTTTTAAGTTTTTGATCAACACATTATATATTAATAGATTCTAAACATACTGTATTTGAATTTTTGACTTATTATTTATACTGTAGCTTGAGAAATATAATAGATTTTATACTGTGATAATTGTAACAAGTTTTTTTTTTATAAATTTGAAAAGCTAATAGAAAAAACCAATTTTTTCTAGCTTTTAACCTTTAAGATACGTACTGTATCTTGACAGTTGCCAGATTACTGTAAATTCTACTAATTTTTTTTGTAATATATATACTGTATATGTATAATATATATGGTACACCCTCCCCAAACCGATCCTGTCAAAACCGATAACCTGCTATAACCCGATTTATGATTTGTTAAATTTTATTTCACTCATATCGATATATAAGAAATATAATCCAGCCAATTATATCTATTTGTGATCATGTGATAGCAGGCCATAAATCGATACAAAAGCTGCGTATCGGATTTTAACAGTTAAATAGGTTAGACACTGTCTGCGAATTTTACGAGAACCAGATATAGTCAACTCCTTCTAAGTGCACGTCCTTTAAACAATAAAATAAACTTGACCCAAGTTGGGACTTATACGTAAGTTCTTTATTCTGTAAGTGCAAGATTTTTTTCTCTAATTGCAAGGTATTTCATTAACCAATTAAATTGATTTATTTAGTTAAAGATTTTTTTTCAAGTGCAAAATATTTTTTTTAATTATTAACTTGCATTTAGAGAGAATTAACTATTAATTTAGTTTTCTTCAATTGCAAGTTCTCTCTAAATGCAAAATATTTTGCTGACTGCATTTAGAGAGAGTAACGTTGCTACGTATCTGATAAAAAAAATTGATTAATTATATATATTTGTTGATCATTTGATATCGCACACCCCATTAACGCTAACGTAACACAAGTATAAACTTTATAAGTTAAAACTCTTTGTTAGTCAATCTCGTATAAAAACTCTTCCACTTCTCGAAAAAAAAATGACAAGAGCGACGGAAGCAGCAACATTTTTCGGTATAATTTCTGTAATATATTCTTTATCCTTTTTCGGGATAATTCCATTGCCACAAATTGTTCAAGAGGAAATTTTACCAGTGGTTTGTTTATTTTTTTATTTTTATTTTTTATTTTATATTTTATATTTTATTTTCAATGTTTAATATTGTTTATGTTTATAAAAAAAAAATATACATATATATATTTATAAAAAACAAAGCTGCCTTGGTGGGCTCTTGTATCTTTTGGTTCATACTCGCTTGGAAATATCGGATACCATTTATATAGATTTAGAAATTGTGATGATGCTTACCATGAATTGATGGAGGTAATTTTTATTTAGACTTCGGTATATTGTTTAAAAATTATCTTAGTGTAATCATTTTAATTTCTTGCATAAACTAGGAAATTCAATCTGCAAAAAATGATTTAAGAATAAAAGGAGTATCCGTTGATTAGTACATACCATCTAAGTTGAGACTCTACCTTTTTTTAATTACGGCATTACCAACTTTGGGTTTGGGAATCAGCATTTCTATCATTTCTACTTAATTTGGATTCATGATCATGACCTAAATATATATATTCCATTTCGATAAATAGTGTCAAATTCAAAATCACTGATTCATTAAATGAATATGCGTACATTTAATAACGTAAAAAAAATTAAAGACTTCAATCAAGTTTATCCAGGTTCAAAGATTGATAAACTTTTGAAGATCGAATTTAAATTGGATTGAATTAATTTGATTATCAAATAAGGCAACATGAAGATGATTTTTCGTTTTGCATTGTTTGTGTTTCAGAATTCCTTTTATTTATTATTTTTTGTTATTAAACTAAATTAATAGACTTATGTTACATCTAATAGAAGTTATGAGAAATAGATATTTTATTTTTTAAATAATGAAAGCTATATCAATTTGAAAAAATTTTCAGTAATCATTATGTTTTCAGTTACTTATAATTGTGGTATATGTAGGAAAGTTTATTATCCCGGTGGCGGAGGACTTAAATTTTCAGCATAGGTCTATCACGTGATCACCAGAACACGTGATGCACTTTGCAGATGATTGGCTATTACAGTATGATTACAGTATATTATAATAATCAGGGTGTGGTAAATTATACAATGCATTGGATTAATTATGCGCAGATTTCCATATGCCATATCCTTCAGAATTTTTTTGGATTTACCAACAAGTTCACCTCGTAATTTAGGATTTTCTACGTCAGAATTAGAATTTACTTCTGCTTGAATTGACGTATGCTCAACAACTAATTAATCACATTTTATTCGCATGAATTATGCTTTTTTTTTGCTCTATTATCGTTACGTGAAGGAATTTTGGTAAGTTATGTATAATCATGGACACTCTAACGACTGCATATTTGATATTACATTCGTCTTCAAAATAATTCACTCCAGACTTATAACAGTTTCTGTTCTCTTAGCTGTAATTGAAATAATGTTAATCAAACTTAGTTTTATTTGTAAAGAAAAACTTTTTTTGAGCATTTTATAATTTTAACTACTCCCAGTATATACTGTACAATTACACGAAATCTGATTAAAGTATGAAAAGATCGAGATGCCAAAAAAAATTTCTAAATTTGGATCTCACAAAAAATACAAAATGATAATCAATATCGCATAGATTCTTTATTCTACGTACGTACTCATGGTTAACGTTGGAATAATAGGAGTGGGTTTAGTTGGTTCCGAACTTATTTCTCAACTAGCAGCTCATGCTAACTCTACTCCAAGGATTTCGGTTATTGCTCTCACAAACTCTTCTAAGCAACTTTTAAGTACTCCAACTTATTCGCCAATTGATCTTTCTACGTGGAAACAAGCTTTACAAACTCAAGGAACTACAGCAAATCTTTCGGCGTTTGTTGACTATGTATCCAATAGTCCAACTCCTGCAATAATCGTAGATAATACAGCAAGTCAAGAAATAGCCTCTCAATATCCTTTATTCTTAAAAAAAGGCCTACATGTCGTAACACCTAATAAAAAAGCATTTAGTGGAGCTGAAACATTATATAAAGAAATCGTGGAAGAGGCTAAGAAGAATAAAAAGCTCGTTTTTAACGAAAGTACTGTTGGAGCTGGTTTACCTGTTATTAGTACATTAAAAGATTTGATTAGAACTGGAGATAAAATTAATAGGATTGAGGGTATATTCTCAGGAACGTTAAGCTATATTTTTAATGAGTTTTCGAAGCCAGGTGATGATAAGGGAAAAAATTTTTCCGAAATTGTTAAAATTGCGAAAGATAATGGCTATACGGTATATTTAATTTAAATAATTGTTTAATCGTTTTGAAGTTTTAATTCATTTCCTCTTGTTTAACGATTGTTAGGAACCTGATCCACGTGACGATTTAAATGGATTAGATGTTGCTCGTAAAGTAATGTTTAAATTAATACATATCAATCATAAGAATTTACTTCACAATTAAATATTTACAAATTTTAATTAAAACAATTAGGTCGTAATTCTCGGTAGAATTACTGGAATGAATCTAAGTCTCGATACATTACCCGTAGAAAATATTGTACCTGAACCGTTACGTAACTTGGCCACATCTTCTGAATTCTTGTCAAGGTTATCAGAATTTGATTCACATTTTGATAATTTAAAACAAACAGCAAAAAATAATAATCAGACTTTAAGATATGTTGGAGTGATTGATCCTATTGGTGGTGAAAGTGGAGTCAAGTTGGTTAGGTATGTCATTTTATCAATTGATATCTATTTTTATTGTTTTTATTAATATGTCTTTATATTTTATAATTGTAGTTTACCATCATCACACCCATTTGCGTCGCTTAAAGGAAGTGATAATATTATTGCATTTACAACTCAGAGGTTCCCTAATCCTTTGATTATTCAAGGAGCTGGTGCTGGAGCTGCTGTTACAGCTTTTGGAATATTTTCCGATATTTTGAAAATTGCGGATAGACTTGAATCATAAAAGTTGAATTTGATTCAAAAAATTTGTTAATTTGTATTTCAATCTTTATGCAAAATTCAATTTCGAATACGGCCCCAAATTGAGCCGGCAATAATACATTAAAACAAAACGTGAACATATATCTATACTTATTACAAACTAAATAAAGTATAATGTCTCTAAATGCACGCTTCTGGAACTAGACGTGAACGTGCATTCAAAGATATATTAGTGATATGATCACATGATAACGTGCCAATAAGTATAAATTTCTATCACGCGTCTAATTCTAATTTATTTGGTGGGTTTAGGTATCTAAATTCTATCATTTTTTAATTCATCGTCATATCAATTTTTCATTATCATTGCCTGCCGTTTTTCAATTCATCACATTTCTCAATTTTTCATTACCTGATTTCATTATTATTATAAAAATACATACTGTATATTCTGCATTATCTTTTTCTATAAATTTATCATTATTGTGACAGTGATTTGTAGTCGACCTAAATTTGTCAACTCGGTTAAGCTGAAATTTAAAATTTGGTTTAGCCGGATATGAAGTCGACTGTGAATTCTTCCGCCATCCTAATTTCCTGACCATTCCCTATATGTATGGCCTAAGTAAAATTTGACTGTGTCAGCTAAGGTGATTTTATCGGCTAATGCCATGCCTTAAGAAGCCTCTAAATTTAAAGGGTAAGGCTAAGGTGTGATTGATTAGTGATATCCATAAATGTAGAACAATGCCGTAAATTTATCATAACGTTATCTATCGAACTTTTTAATTGGTTCTGATGCTGCAAGTTTATACTTACGTACAGTACGTACGTAGTAATTTTTTATGGTCTATCTCCATATAAAGGCTTTTATTTTAGGGATTTACATATAAATTTAATATAAAATTAATACTATTATATAGTATATATATACTGTATTAATTTTAAATGTTTTTTATGTTATATATATACTACGTAAATACTGTATATACAAAGCAATGTTTTAAATGTCTTCTTATATGGTAATCAGTATTGAGCAATTAGTGGTCGACCAAAAATTTACTAGTCAAATTGGTCAGATCAAATTGGTCAAATGGTCAAACTGTTCAAATTGGACAAATCTATTATATAAATATAATATATATATATATATGTATATATATATTATACGTATAATAAATTATATATATATATTTAAATATATATACTATTTGACTAATTTAACCAGTACAGATCCTTTGACCTGACCGGTCAAATTGGTCTGGTCCAATGGTCAAACTGGTCTGGTCAAGCCAACACTGATGGTAATATATGTGATTTCGTTTGTAAAGCTCGGCTCTATAATTTACATGCATATACCTAACGCTAATGAAATTTGTATTATTAATACGTAGTTAAATGTAATTTATATAGTCATTATACGTAACAAAAAAACTATGTATATCAGTCCCAAAACTATGTGATGAATAGTTTCAGCATGACAATAAGGTGATATCTTTGTTGTCACATGACAGAACCATAAAAGTTATAGTAATTTAGTAATAACAAAATAACGTTATGTATTGTGTCGTCATAATAGCCATAACAGATAAGGTAGATACGTAATTTAGATCATTTTTTATGTCATTAAAAATTTTTTTTATAAATACCAAACTTTTCAACATTTTTTATAACAAAAAAATACAAAATGTCAGCAAACTCGGAAAGAAAAGGAATAATAAATAATGGTGGCGAGAGTGAGAAAATTATCGATAAGGATGAAAGTTTTAAAATTTCTGAAGAAGAAAAAAATGAGAAGGAGGAGAATCACACTAGTGAAGCATATCATGATTTAAGTGAAATTGGTGAAAATTTTATTAAAACTATTATGGTATGACTTATATATAAAAAATTGCTCAAAATATTTATATTTCATTTCGAGAATTTAAATTTTTTTTTCTTATTAAAAATTAACTAGCATGGATTAGAAACTCTTGGTTCCACAATTACTCACAAAGAGTCTAACGCTGATGATGATCAAGGATCTTCAACGCAGAATGAAAATTCCCAAAATTCGCATCAATCCAACTCCCCAACGAACAGAGATTCATCACAAGAAATTTTTAATGAAAATTCACAAAATTCGCATCAACCCAACTTCCCAACGAACAGAGATTCATCACAAGAAATTTTTAATAATCAAATTATTACAGAAACCGAACATGTAGGTCATTATCGGATTATCTTTTGATATTTTATGTTACTTTACTAATTTAACGATTTAAATAAAAAAATAAAGGAACTATTGTTGGTCTTTCCATCAGAGTCCTAAAAAAAATATCTATCGCTATATTGCTTTATTGATTATTCACGTGATTTCATTTACATTATGTACATTATATAAAACTTAATATAGTTATTTTATTTTGAATTTTATAAATAAGTTAAATTAAATACTGTATGTTGAAAATTTAAAAAAGATGGCTTAATGAATTTTGTAAAGTGCTGGAAATTTATGTAATGCTTTAACAGAGTTTTATAGCCCAGCTAGGTCAAAATTTTGACAACTTGTAAAAATTTTTTAATAAATATGTTGAGAATTAAAATGATGGATTAATGAACTTTGTAAAAGTGTTGAAATTTATGTATTGCTACTGTATAACCGATTTTCATAACCAATCAAAATTTAAAAAAAACCCCCATTTTAAAATTTTATGAAAACCAAGAAATTGGTCTAATGCAAATTCATTCATTATTCAACATAAAAAAAAGTTTTTAGAAAGGATAGATATAGTAATTAAATTTGTATAGCCTTAAGTTAAAATTTAATAAAATTTATACGTATTCAAGAAAATTTTGTTATATCGAAGAAAGGGTGGGAAACAACATGGAAAAACAAGATGTGATCGGATAGGTTAAACACTCATATTCTATTATCTTGACAATTATGATAGGAATTTCTGTATTTCACTCAAACTTATTACAGTATTTATTTGTGAATTTTTTGTTTTCAGGGATTATAGTACTACATGAGCGAACTGCACTCCAATTTACATAATTTATGAGAAAGTATTAACTTTTCCATTTTCACGATTCATATTTTTCCAATATGTTAAATTTTAAAAATTTTTTATACTGTAATAAATTTTGTACTGTATTAATAAAAATTACCAATCAAAAATTTTTACGTAAAAAATTATAAAACATTCTAATGGACGAGTAAAGTGATAACAAAGTTACGTTTTTGATGCATTAGGGTTCCGACTTTGAGCATAATATTAAAAAAATATACTGTATCAAAAATATAAATTTGAAATACAGAGAGATCCCAGGTCAGAATGCATCGGGACCCTGGTCGGATGGGCCGGAATTGATCGATTTTACCCAAGATCACTAAGAACTTTACCAATGAAAGCATAGTCGTTCATTAAGTAAAAAATGCTAAGCTGATAATTTTACTATAGCTCCCGCTAACCAGAATAGCTAACCCTAACCCTAACCCGGAAATTTAGGGAAAATAAATTGCAGAATTAAAAGATTCTGTTCGCGCACGTGACACAAGATAGTTCCGGACCAATAATGCTACGTATAAACCTAGCGATAGTCAATTTAGAAACTACCCTTTATATGTTAAAAATTGAGCTGATCTGTGGCACAACGATAAAAAATTTATCATATAAATTATAAAATAATTTTTTTAAAAAATTTTCATTTAGATTTAAAATGTCACAATTACTCGACAAAGTCCTAATGAATACGGAAGAACCGTCTTATGATATATTAGGAGAAATCGATGACAACTTTGGAGGGTCAGATACGGAGATTCCTATGCCATCCATCGATACCACACCAATAACACCTAGTGATGTAAAAAGGTATATAGAAGAAGCATTAGAAATAAGCAAAAATAAAGGTGAAGATTCAGATGATGCGCAAAATCAAATAGTGGAAGATACTGGTGCATGGCAAGATTCTGATGATGAGAAGGTTTGTGTATCATTACAAAGTAAATCTATGTTAAAAAAATTAAGAAAAAATGAAGATGAAGATGTAATATCCGGTGATAAATACGAGAAGAGATTGAGACAACAATTTGAGAAACTTTATCCAACTCCAAATTGGGCCACTGTTCCTTCAAAACGAAAAAGACAAAAAATGCTGGACAGTTCAGATTCATCAGATGATGAACCACCGGAAGAGTTGGAAATTCGTAATGAGCCTGACAAACGTGACAAACATATTGAATCTGACACACATAATGAGTTTGATTCATTAAAAATTCATACAAAACTATTATCAAAAAAAAAGCTTGAGGTCACAAAAATGAAACATGTGAATCAACAGGCCTATTCACAAAGCGTAATTCAAAGTATAGCTTTTCATCCAAATGCTCAAGTTGCCATGACCGCTGGACTAGATAAAACAATACGCTTATTTCAAGTCGATGGTAAAATCAATCCGAAAGTCCAATCTGTTGTACTTAAAGATTTACCCATTTATCGAGCAGCATTCAATCCAAATGGAACTGAAATTATTGCTGCTGGACGGAAAAAATACTTTTACATATTTAACATCGAAGCTGGGAGTATCGATAAATCTAATGGGATTTATGGATTTCAAGATAAATCATTAGAAAATTTTTCAATCTCTCCTTGTGGGCAATATATTGTTTTTGCTGGTAGTAGTGGATATTTGGTTTTGGTCAGCAATCGAACTAAACAATGGATCGCCAACATGAAAATGAATGGTACTGTTACATCTGTTGATTGGTCTAATGATGGTCGATATTTATATTCTGTTGGAAATGATGCCGAGGTATACCAATGGGATGTTAATACGCGAAGATGTGTTCATAGGTTTAGGGACGATGGTGGGTTTAAGCCTACGAAGATATCAGTATCGAAGAATGGTCACTACTTTGCTATTGGGTTAGTAGTGTGTGAAGTTTCCATTTTGTTATTTGCATTTTGCGCTCAAATTTTTTAATTTTAAAAATAGATCGAATTCTGGTATCGTTAATGTTTATGATGAGACTTGCTTAATCTTACCAAATCCTAAGCCTTTAAAGTCAATTATGAATTTGACAACAAACGTTCATGATATGAAATTCAATCATGACTCTCAAATACTTGGGATCTCAAGCCATTCTAAAAAAAATCAATTAAAATTGGTAAATTTTTTTAAAAAAAATTGGTCTTTGTTATGAACCATTATTCATACTTAAACATTTATGATTTTTGTGGCAGGTGCATTTACCGTCTCTTAATGTGTTTCCAAATTGGCCAAACAATTTAACGCCTCTTAATTACGTTCAATGTTTTGATTTCTCGCCAGCAAGTGGTTATATTGCTATAGGTAACGACAAGGGTAAAGCACTTTTGTATAGACTTAGGCATTATCCCGTTGCCTAATAAATGATATAATTTTTCACAATAATTTATTAATAACTATATACATGCTCATAAATTCATACTAATAATTGTTATACGATTTTGTTGATACTATTTCTTTTATCAGATACTTAAAGTGATTTATTTCTTTTTGTTAACGTTAAATTTGAATAAATTCATGGATCAAATTAAAATTATAGACAAATTTGCTTAACAGAGTAAGGGTGATTTACGATATAACTTATATATCTACTGTAGATATATAAGTTATGAAATTTTAGACAAAATAAAATATATAAATTATGAACTTTTAGACAAAATAAAATAGCTAAATTAAATTAATTTAAAATATTTACTGGTATTACCTAAAATTTATTCACATGTTTAATAACTACTAAACTAGAACAAAGTAAAAAAAATCGGTAAAATAATATAAAAAAATAAGATTTAACAAATTAAAAAAAAAGAATACAAATTATTTAACTTTTTTTGTAGATTTTTAAAACTAACTTTTTCAATCAACTCTTTCCAATGATTACTTGCACCAAAATTCCAAACATATTTTTCTTAAAAAGCACAATAGCTTTTAGTAAAAAATAGCCAAAAATAAGTCTTGAAACTGTAAGATAGCAGCTATTATTTAGAAATAGTTTTTTATATACTACCTGCTAACAACTTTAGAGTTTATTACTTACTACAGGTATGGCACTTGTTATTTAGAAGTAGTTCTCATATGCTACTTGTTAACAAGTTTAGAGTTTATTATTTATCAAAAAGCAAATATATAGCATTTTTTATTCTCTTAATAAGAGTTTATTGGTTGTTTTAGTTTTTTTAAAAATATATATACTTTTTTTTTGATATAGGTTGTTTACTTTTATAGATTTTTCTTGCCTTCTTGTTAGTCTTTCAAAATTTTTAGCAAAAGTAGAAATTTGGTTTATTTTCTTCAAAATATTAGTATTAGTTACTTTTCAAATTCAGATAAACTTAATAAATTGCAACTATATATTATATTTACTTATCCCCTAGATTGTAGTAAAATGCAGGCAAATTTGTCTGCATTTTTGTACTTTTTTAGCTCTAATTTACTTTTTTAAGATGTCAAAATACTTAAATAAAACTTTGTACAATTATATTTGAAAATAAGGATTACTTTTTTGCAAAATTGGAGTTTATATTATAAGAAAAAAAATTAAAGTTATATATAAGCTAAAAATAGATAATTTTAAAAAAAAATTTTTTATAAAAATTTTATTACAATTTTTCTGCGATCTCATTTAGTTTTAATTTTAAATTTATAGTTCTTAATACAATATTATAGCTTATATAGAGGATGGCAACTTTCATTATTACACTTTTAGTGATTTATTTGTAAAAATTAAGACTTGTATTAGAAGTAAAAGTTTTTTGTAAAGGCAAAAACATATAAAATTTAAGAAAACCCAAAGAAAATTTTTAATAGTAAAATCCTAATACAAGAACTTTAAATTTTGATTGTATTAAAATTTTCTAATAATTTTAAAAAAATTTTATAACAAAGTTATTAAAACAAAACTAAAAATATATTTTTTACTTAGAAAAGATATAGCTAAAATTAATATTTAAGCTTTTATTAAGAATTTTAAAAAATGCAGGCAAATTTGCCTGTGTTATAGATGAAGAGATAGATAATATAAAGAGTCACTTGAAGATTTTAGCAGATCAATAGAAACTGAACCAATATTGCCAGAATAAAAATCTTTATAGGCTTTGTGAATTGTATTAAGCCCATTAGCTATATAATATAAAGTTGCTACTTTAGAAGCCCAATATATTTACTGTCTAACAATTTTCCGAGACTTCCCTGCTTTGCGTACTC